CACACACCCCTTCCTCAGGAGGGCCCTCTCACTTAAAGGTGAAACGCAAAGGCATAGATATGATCTTTGTCAGCAATGAGGTGTCAACTCATTGTTCCTAATTGTCATGAATGCCAGAAAAAAAGGGACATGGTGAAATAAGTACTCAGGAGAGATGAATACACACCATTCCTAGAAAATTCACGTTTTCCAAGACATATAAGAAAGAAAAGGAGTATACTTCTCATGAGATATATTTGAGTATACCATCTATATACATTTTTACCATCCCTTGTTAGGAACACTGAATCCCTGGATAAGAACTCATGTTTTATTGGTCCAGAAATCCAAATTGTTTTCTCTAACACCATTTTCTTAACCAGCTATTCACTACCCAAAGTGAACAAAGCTTACTCTGTCTCTGTCCTTTAGAGTCTTAGTCTCTCTCTCTCTCTCCACCCCCCTCCACTAGGCATTTCCATGTGATTGGTTTTTCTTTCCATATCTGCTTCTCTCTGTAGTATTTAGCTTAACACATCTGTATAAATAATTTTTTCTCTCTTGACCAAATCTGCAAATCTCTAGACAAATATATTCTCCCTGGTCCTTGTTAATGATCCCCTCCCCACTTCTACCATCACACACACACACACACACACACACACACAAACACAAACACACACAGTCTTTCAAGAAAAAAACGCCTCTACATTCAGAACTTACCTAACTTACTGGGAAAGAGACAGACTCAGACCCAGGATTTGACACCTTTAATTTGTGAACAGTCTTTGAGACCCGGGTTTAGCCAGACCCAACCCCTTCCCCAACTTGTCTCCTCTCTTCCTTCCTTTCCCACCCAATCGCCAGCATCAGTCTGCCTCTTTGGTCCAGTGGTCACCTGGGTCTTACTGCTGGAGAGCTGGCTGAATACACATTCAAGACTCTGTGTGCTTCCTGGCCTTGGGGGGAGCCTCAAGGAGCAGGAGAGTTGTCCCCCTGCTCATTTCTCCTCAGGCTGGGTGGGCCCCTGGAGATCCAACAGGTTTCTGAGGCTTTTAAGAACTATAGGATTCACGATAGAAACCAGAACTTCTGGGATTCAATCACTATTGGTCCCCTGGAAAAAGGTAACCAGAGAAAGGGCATGAGAACACAGACTAAGGCTCTCCCCCCCACACACACACATTATCCCTCCTAGGTTGAAAAGAGGGGTAGGGAAGAAGAGAATTGATTGGTCTTAGGCTGTAGGTCAGCATGCCTACTCACCAGGGGTGGGGCTGGGTGCCATCTCTGCCTGGTAGATCTTGAAGGCATCATAGATAAAGACAAAAACAACGATAACACCAAAAACCTGGGGTGGCAGGGAGGAAGGTATGGAGAGTTGGGGTGAAACAGTAGAGGTTGTAAGGTTAGAGAACGGAGGAGGATAGTGAAGGGAGAGGGGTGGGGTGAAAAGAGGCCATGCAACAGGGTTAAGAGGCAATCTGCCTCTGGGGGTAGGAGGAAGACGAGCCAGAAGACTTAGGGGTACACTACCCAAATATCACCCAGCCTCCTTCGCCCAGAGACAAACAAGGTTTGGGCTCTCAACCAGGGGGCAATCTTTGGGGAACAATGGCAAATAGTGCCTGGTAGGGCAGAGGATCAGGAGGCGGGCACAGACTAGGGGTCTATGAAGGGAAAGGGCACTCACAAAAGCAGCAATGGCAGGTCCCTCCCGAGAGACCACAGCAGCGAAGGACACGACGAGGAGGATGACGACAGCACTGACACATCGAAGGAAGTCCTGGGAGATAGAGAAGAACGGGAGCAGATCAGATAAAAGGGGCAAGAGGGGGACAACGGCAGGGTCAATGTTGAGGAAGCTGGGGCCCTTGAGGTAGCACCCAAACTGCTATTTCATCAATGAGCCAACTCGCCCCAACTGGGGGTGGTTGGGAGGGGGGAGAAGCTGATGGAAGAGGATTCAGGAGAGATAGATCACCATCCCCTACCCCCAACTCATGGTCTTCTGGGCTGCCCTGGTTTGCAACAGGGCTTGATTATTGGAAAGAAACATAGAGTTACCTTTATGCAGATGACCCCTAACTTGGCAGGATGGAGCAGGAAAGGGGGTAGGGGCAAATCTACTCCAAATTAAGATTTAGACCCTATGATACTGGACCTCAAGTTCCCTCCTGACTCTACTTCCCCTGAGAGTCTATCTTCAGGAACTAGGCAACTGGGGTGTGGGGTGGAAATGGTGTGAAAACAAAGCGAAAGGTTGGGAACGTTGGGAGAAGGAAGAGAAATAGAATTTTAAGGACTTCTAGCCTGCAGCAGCTTCCAAATCTGCCCACTACTTTGCTGTGTTGCCTTGGATAAGTCACTTTCCCCTCACAGTCTGTTTACTTGTCTATAAAATCTGCAGTTCCTTTAGGCACTAAGATTCTGTGATCAAATGACTCACATGCATATCTGCTGTGATATCATATGTAAATGAGTTCTGTTATTTTTGAGTAAACTGTCTGAGCACTTTTTCTTTCTTTTTTAAGAAAGATGGCATCCCAACTTGGCCCCAAATTGGAAAGCTAAAGAGGGGAAGCTGACTTTGGGTGCAGAAATAGGGAGGGTGGCTAGATCAAAGACTGACCTGGGCAGGAATACCAAGAGAAGATGGTTTGGAGGGGTAGAAGGAGAAAGGGATGGGGAGGGCTAAACCAGGGGTCTGGGAGGAACTGCCTTCTCACCAAACAGGGCCAGTTGAGGCGCTGGAAACGCTGGTAGTACTGGGTAGCATAGAGGAAGATGAAGGCCAGCGTGATGAGGAACTCAAGCAGTGGGGCTGCCATGTAGGCTGAGATGGAGGCGGCAAAGCATATGGCCATGATGAAGGTCAGAGCCTGTAGGGCAGAACCATCCTGAGTGCCCTGAAGGTGTCCAGAATCTCCTACCACCCAGCCTCACAGCCATCCCAAACTGGGCTTCAGCCTGGCTTTCTCTATCTCAGGGGAAAGACCCAGCCTGACAAGAATTGTTAGTACAATAGTACAAATGAAAAAAACAGTTTTTTAAAAAAGCCAAATTCTGTGTAACTATTATGACCAATGTTGGCCCTGAGAAAAGACAAGAAATGCTCCTTTCTCCTTTCCTTGGAGAGGTAGGGGACTGTGGATGCAGAACACTGCATACACAGCCAGATACAATTACTTTCTCAGTTAGCTTTGATTGTTTTTCTTTGCTACAAAGGAAGGCTCTTCAGAAGGAGATACAAGCAAGTAGGATAGTGCTGGAACTACCATGTCAAATTGAATACAAACTTTTTTTTAAAGCTACACGTAACAGAAATTCACAGTGCCATATACAATCCTCTTCTATTCTTTGCATTGGGAAATGTTAGTTTTTTTGGTGTTTGTCAAACTCACAAGAAGGAAAAAGAAAAAAATTTTAAAGAAGGTTTATGGGGGACTATGGGGAGTATATCTGTAAATGGCCATAATGTAAACCCAAAAAAAATCAAGAAAACTTTTTCTTTTTTGTAATGAGGTTGTCCCTCCTCTCTCTGCCACCACCCACCAATTCCAAGAAGGTAAAACAGAAACCAAGATATCAAAAACCTTTGTCTTCTCTTCCTACCCCTCCCACTGAGACATTCTGGTGCCTCCTGGGAACAGTGGCTGCACAAACCAGACAGATGAGCCAGGTCAGACTGGGGAAGGCTGATGTTTTTAAGGGTGATTCCAAGGGCTTTGGGAGAGACACTCACATGATATAGACAGAAAGAGCCTTGAACTTGAAGTCAGGATATGGGTTCAAATTCTGATTCTGTAGGGACTAAATCACCTCAAAAGCCCACTAGAGTTTTAAATCTATGAACTTATGAGCCTACTGCCTTTCCCTGCCCTAAAATAAAGCCTGCTCAATATTGCCTAATGTTACTTAGTTCAACATTCCAAGAATCTCTATTTCATCCCTCCACCAAATCAGATCAAAACTCCTCTGTGTGTTTGTAGATAATTCCATAAGTTCGTATGGCAAAAAAAATGTATATATATATATATATGTGTGTGTGTATATATATATATATGTATCTACATATATATATATGTATCACCTGACAGCCAACTTTCCGGTAAGGAAGCCCTTCTGCAATGAGCTAACCTGGCCCTCAGATGACCAACATACAATCTGCCAACCGGTCAAAATTTGTATTCCCACCAGCAGAGCTTTTGACCTAAAGGTCATTTCTGCAAGCTATGATTTCTGTAGATATTCTTTTACCCAGAGTCATAACTAGGATGTTGATGCTAAAATCTTGCACTGGGTACTAACATTGAAACAGGTTACAACATTACTTTTAGTTATTCAACATCAGCAAAAACAAAAAAGCCCTGAATTTTGCACCGAATTATTGAGAAAAATCATATAAAATTGGAAGCCACCAGATGGCAATTTCCTCTTCCCAGCAGCTCTTCCTCAGGTAAGTTCCTTTTCGTCTCTTTCCACCCTTTCCGTCCTCCCCATCCCCCAACCTCTGCTGATGGCCTTCCTCCCAATAACAACCTCAAGGTGTCCCAGGTTTCCACAGGTGTTGCTCTTCTGCCATTTGACTTAAGGGCATCTGGGTCTGTTTTGTTGCAAAAAATCTAGTTAGAGCTCTCTCTTTACCAGAGGGCATAATCTCTAAACCCACAACGATCAATAAGATTTCAGGTGCAAAAGATCCTTAAAAGGAGACTTAACTTTTTACTAAAGTGAAAAGGGCTGTGAGGCTATAAGTAGACTTTGATTAGGGTGAGGAAAGAGAGTGAGGATGATAAATGCCTGGAGAAAAAGGAGGGAAGTCAAAGGAAAAGAAGGTTGGTGGGATCAAAGGCCTTCCTCGCTTTGCAACTTGGCCTGGAATTAGCCTGGCGTGAGAGGTTTTTTTTTAAGATCCCCCAAAGCAGAAAATACCTGTCTTACTAGGTTTCAGTTTCTCACATTCTGTCCTTGTATTTGAAAAAAACCCTTCTTTATGTCTAACTTCAATCCTTCTTGCCACAGATGAAACCCAGAGAGAGATAGAGCCAGGCAAGAGGAGAAGCTGACTGATAAGAGGCACCTGGGTGAAAAGGAACGTGAGAGGCTAAGGTGAGGGATGCACAAGTAGGGGGCAAGAGGCAGACAGAAGGGAGTTAAGTGGAGTTTGAATGAGTCCAGGAAGGGAGAGAAGAGGTAAAGCTGGGAGGAAAAGCCCCCCAGGGAAAGCAAGCAGAATCCAGGGAAGAGGGGACGGGGGAAGTGAGGGAAGCAAAGTGAAGAGAGGGGGAGAGAGACGTGACAGGCAGGGCTGAGGGTTACCAGCTCGACTTCCAGAAGGATGCCTTTGGGGTTGGTGAGAAAGCTCTTGTCAATGGCGAAGCCCTGAAGCCCCACAGCTCCCCTCTCTTCTGGAGGCTTGTCTCTGGCACTCAGCATCTCTGCAGAGGGGCTGGGGGCTAGGCAGAAGAGTGATAGACTCGGGACAGCCGAAAAAAATGACGAAGAGTCTTTCCTCCTGGCCCCAAGAAAGGAACCGGAAATCTGGAATGGGGAGGGAGAAGGAGAGAGTGAAAGGGTGAGGGGAGGAGGGAGAGAGAAGAGGAAAAAGGAAAAATTGAGGGAAAAAGATCACGAAAAAATGAGGGTAAGAGAAAGGCTGAGGGAGGGGCAGAGGTAGCTGGAAAGAAGAGGAGGAGGAGCAGGAGGAGGAGGCTTACTGGACCGGCCAGGAAGGGCAGCAAAGGGAGGGGGCCTGAACCAGAATGGTGGGTGAAGTAGAGATGTTCTGGGTGGGTAATAAAAAAAAAAACAAATTGCTTCAGGCCAGAGTGCTGCTATCTGTCTCCTGGACCGTGCCTGGAAGATGTCCCTAGAAGTGCCAGGGAGATGGGAGAAGGAGGAGGGCCAGGTGGTAAAGGATAGGGGTGGAGAGAAATGCTTAAGCCTTCCCCTTTCCCAGAGCCAACCCCCGCCCCAAAGAAAAGTCAGAGAAGAGAGACTCAAAGAAAGAAGCATAGAGACAGGCAAGGAAACAGAAAGACAGCTGGAATCCAAGAGGGAAGAGTTGGAGCACTCCAAAGGCCCTGAACCCTGAAGACTTCTGTGTCATTGATGAGTCCAATGACTTCCTTGCTCCTCCACCCATCATCACCATCTCCTCTCCTTCTCCTCCCCTAATCTCTTCACTCTTCCTCTGCTCCATCTCTCCTTCCCTACCATGGGGGAAGGAAGCTGGACCCCAGCCCAGGCTATCCCCCAGGCCCGGGTTGTGGCCTGCCGGTGGGACCCGAGGACAAAGGGAGATTGTTGGGGGGTAGGGGAGCAGTACTGGTGAACAAGGAGCCAGCTGTGTTCAGGGCTGGAGGCCTCAATGCGCCTCTGTCTCTCCTCCCTGCCTGGCCAGGGCCAGCCTGACCCCCACCCTGGGTACGTGGGGAGCGGGAGGCACAGGGGTGGGGGGGAAGAGACAAAAGGAAAGGAAGGAATCTTAAGAGGAGGGAATTCTGCAGGCCCCAGGAAGGGAGATGGAGTGCAGGGGGAAAGAGGAAATGAGACTGGGGAGAAAACTGGGGACAGAAAAGGGGAGTTGTACTGTGGGATGTGGGGTGGGGATGGGGGGAGAGACCTAAGCTTGGCTGGGGAATAGAGGGTGGGGATAGGGCTGCCAGGGAATGCCAAAAACAACACAGGCTACTTTCATTTCCAAAAATATTTATTTCAACAAGCCCCTAAATGTTCTACCAGAACTTTGTCTCCAGAAATGACCAGATTCATTATTCTATAGCATAACAAGTCAGCTCTCAAAGCGTTTAGTACAATAGTTAAGCACTTAATAGATGCTGGTTGATTTGGAGAAAGGACCAGGATACTTTGGGACAGTAGGGAGAGGTGGAAAGGGAAGGGAGTTCTTAGGGGTGGGGGACAAAGATTGAAATGGGCAGAGGTTGTCTCCTGCAGGCTATTTCCCCCAGAGCCAGCGGATGTCTGTCAGACCACTGGGCAGGGTTTCCAGGACTGGGGCTGCAGGGAACATCTACACAGCTACCCACCCAGAAAAATGTAGGTTACCCCAGAGTGCCCCAGTCCTCCTTCCAGTGCAAACACTCAGTACCCAACTGAGTTTTCTTCTGTTACCTTCCCACGAGAGTTTAGTGAGTAGGTGGATTTGGCAAAGGGAAGGCACAGAAGTACCAGGCTCATGGCCCTGGAACAAGGCGGTTGTGCTAATGACCACAATTATCTTTGCCTGCACTCCAAGTTTCCAGGTGAAAAGCCTGACGCCCAGAAACTGGTCCTCATCCAGCATTCCCCCAGGCATGGAGCTGGGTCTCCTGGCACCGACTCCCAGGCTAGGCCATGATCTGAGGCAGGACACAGACGCAGGCAAAGGAGACAGGGTAGACTTTCTGCTCTAGGTAATAACAGTCACTTTCTGGCTGCTCGCCATGACCGTGACACCGGCGCCGGTAAAAGACAGTCTGGTTGTGCCAGAGTAGCTCAGAGTTCCCACGGTGGTCCATGTAGCCTGTATGCAGGCTGATGCAATGAGGGCACAGGCAGCGGGCATGATACAAGTCCTGGGGAAGCCGGTTTTCATCCCGGTCCAACCTGTCAGGATAGTAGGTGCCATGAACCCAGGTGGAAAGAAGCCCAGGAATTCACATGTAGAAGACAGAGATGGAAGGAAGAACATGAGGAGACGAGGAGGGATTGAGGAGACCAAAACAACTCCATAGTAGTCTAATTGGACCCCAGGCCTTTCACTATTGTAAGAAGATCCAAGGTATACCATGAAAAAGCAGTTGTGAGGTGGTGAAGGGAGAGACCCCGGCTGTCACCCTGGATTGCAACCGCACTACACGAGGCTCTGGCTTCCAGTTGGGCCTCACCAAGCATCCCCTAAAGAGGACTCCAAACCCCAAATTTAGCCTACTAAGGGGCATCCAGTTCATGGCTTATCTTGTGCCAAGGCTTGGAATTTTGTATTAACTGAGCTCTCAAAATAGTTATGTGACAAATTAATGGACAAGCAGCATGTCATAACGTAAAGAACTCTGGACTTAGACTCAGAAGACCCAATGTTGAGTCCTAGCTCTGACACAGCCGTGTGACTAGGGCATGTTACTGAACCTTATTTTCCTCATCTGTAAGATGGGAATAATAATGCCTGCATTGCCTACTTCACAAAGCTGTTGTAAGGCAAGTACCCTATAAATCACAAAGCACTATGGAAATTAGAGTTATTATTAAAATGTAATGGGGGACCCTGGGTGATTTTCACCCAGCTCTTAGTTTCATGAAGTTCCCTTTTCACTTTCCCCAAACCTTTAGGGCTAAGGCAGAGCTCCCTCTGGAGTTAGAGAAATTGGCATGGAGTATGGAAAGACATTCATTCATTCATTCATCCATCCAACAAACTTTTATCATATGGGGGTGGGGGATACAAAGTTTACCTGCCACTATGACATTTAACAGTCTAGTGCTGGGGTTTTTAACCTGTTTTTGTATCATGGATCCCTTTAGCAATCTGGTGAAGCCAAGGGACCCCTCCTCTTGGAATAATGTTTTTAAATGTATAAAATAAAATGCAAATGCAAAAAAAAATGCATAGGATTATAAAGGAAATCAATTATATTAAAAAAAAGTTACCAAAATATTTTTAAAAATCAAATTCATGGCCCATGGTTAAGAACCCCTGGTCTAGTGAAAGAATAAGACAAAAATATCACTAACATATTATATATTAATAAAGATATAGGGAGAAATAACATTAATATTTGAAAGATTCATGATTTCATCCAATATGTCCCCACCACCAATGCAGATCACAACTCCCTCATGACTTAGCAGATGGTCATTGAGAGTATCTGGGTCTGAAAAATTTATCACCCTGTGACCCTCCTTGGTAATAAGACTTTTCAAACAGCTAGATTGGTCTTCAGGTAATAGATCAAGCATTTGAAAGATTTACTGCTTGGTTAGATCTACCAGAGTTGACAATCCACTAGCATAGCTCTCTGGAACTCAAGGTAATCACCATGACATTATGAAGCGTTGCAGCAGGACTTTAATGGAGGCAAAATAATACCCCAGATATATACAGTTCTTTATGATTAACAAAAAAAGGCAAGCAGAGGCTGCCTCAGATAGTGGCTTCATCTCCATCCCCCACCAAACACATATAAACATGCACACATATACACACACATATATACATGTATGTGTGTATGAGAAATGGAAAGTGGGGTTCAACAGGGATCCATGGGGGAGAGGAGGACAGGGAGAAGGACAAGGAAGGTCAGTGGACTTACTCATAGCTCCAGGGAGAGATGGCCCTTGAATTGAGGGGCCCATCTCGGCTGGCCTGACATTGGGCAGGTTCAGGGACCTTGACATTTGGGAGCTGTAAGTTTCTGGAGACTTCAATGGGTGCAGAGGGCATACCGTTCCAGTTCAGCAACTCCTCAGAAAAGTCCTGCTCCTTGTTGCAACAGCACCTATGGTGATGATTACAATCCCTCCGAAACCTCAAGTTCAGAGCCTGGGTCCCTGTGGCCACCACCAGAATTCCTATCAACTGCAGAAATTAAAAAAGAGGAAGGATAAGTGAGGGGAGGGGTCCCTAGGTGTCACCCTAGCTTGCTAGCTCCAGGACCATCCCTTCACTCCAGTTCTCAATCCTCCAAGAGACCCTCCTTTTCAGAGTCTGACCTCTAAGTCCTCCCGGGCCCCCAAGACCACTTTCCCAGCCTAGAATCATAAAATATTAAAGCTAGAAGGGACTTTAGAGATCATCTGATCCAATCGCCTTATTTTATAAGTAAGGTCCGTAAGACTCAGAAAGGACACACAGCCAGTAGTACATAGTCACATTAAGTCAAACCCAAATCTCCTGACTCCAGGTCCAGAATTCTTTCCACTAAACCATGCTCTCCCCACAACTGAGAGCTCCTCAGTTCAACCCATCCTTGCCCTTATCAGCTCAATCCTAGCCTCCATTTTGCTAAGCCTCCTGACCTCAAGTGCAAGGCCTTATCCTCCTCCTACTATCCCATTCACTCACCCAGTGCATGCTGAATGAAGCAAGGTACTGGACAGAGAGATGTTGGGAAGAACTGGTCAGAATGAAGCTGATGCCCAGGGACTCCTGGTTTTATTAACCTCAGCTTAATTTGACATGCAAATAAGATATTTCCAGGGAGTGGTAATTCTTATTGAGTAAAGTTGCTGAGGGCCTTGAACTATCTTCTTTATCTCTTCTAGAGCCTAGCACTAGCAATGCTTTTTTTTTTCTTTTTTAATTTTTAATTTATGGGATAAAACAAGCATTTCCATAACAGTATAATTTTTTAAATGATTACCCATGAAATTGCAAATACATTATGTATAACAAAAACAATGGTTTTGAATGAAGACATGAGTGAATTTATCTATGCCTCAGTTTCCTTATCTGTAAAACAGAAAAGGTAGAGTCTCCAGGAAAGTAAGAAGATCTGAAACCATGTCACATGAGTATTGGTTGGAGGAAATGTAAAATGTATAGCCTGGAGAAGACTTGGTGTGCATTTAATTTCCATCTTCAAATATTTACAACATTACCAACTAAAAGAAAGATTATATTTATGTAGCAGGACTTGGATCGGACTAGACCCCGTGGCTCCTAGAAGTGACCATTCTATTTGGTCTCGGAGAACAGAATTAAGAATAGTGAGTAGAAGTTAAAAAGAGATGAATTTGGATTCAATATAATGAAAAACCTCCTAACAACTAGAACAATCCAAAAGTGTAATGGGCTGCCTTGTCCCTAGGGGGGCTGGCAAAGAATGTGTTCCCCAACTCTTAATAGAAGCCAGATGACCACTTTTCAGGGACATTAGAATTTGCCAGCAAGGATTCTTAACCTGGGGGCCCTGAGCTTTGGTTGTTTGTTTTTATTAAAATTTTGGTAACTGTATTTCAATATAATTGGTTTCCTTCAAAATCCTATGTATTTTATTTTATGCATTTATGAACATTATTTTGAGAAAGGGAACTATGGGCTTTGACAGACAGCTAAAACAGTCCATGGCACCAAAAAGGTTAAGAACTCCTGGCCCAGAGGGAATTTCTGTTCCGGTACAGGTTGGACCAGATACCATCCATCAGAGGGCCATTCCATGATTCCATACCTTTCCTACCTTGCGGGGTATTGCATGAATCAAATGAGA